GTCGAAGCAGCAAAGAGCAGCGCAGCAGCAATGCTCCGCGGCGCGGAGCAGCAGGCCGCCAGCTTCTACGCAGCAGCAGACCAGAAGCAGCAGGAACTCAAAAAGCTGGAGAAGCTCGCGCGGGACCTTGCTGCGGCCTCGAAGGCGCAGCAGGAGCGGCTGCTGCTGAGCAAGAAGCCCGGAGACGAAGCAGCAGCAGCAGAAGCAGCAGAAGCAGCGCAGCGGGCCTCCAGAGGCCTCCAACTCGCAGCCACTCTCGCCAGCCACGCCAGCAACGCGCAGCAGCAAGCAGCAGACATGAAGGCAGCAATGGGCGAGCTCAAGGCCCGGCTGGAGAAGCGGCTGAAGCCCCAGGCAGACTCCGAAGACCCCCAGAAGGCCCAGGGGGGCCCCCAGGGGGGCCCCCACCCACAGGAGGGGCCCCTCAGCACCAAAGACGTGCTGCGCAAGTACACCGAAAGGGCCCGCGAACACTTAGACCAGTCCGAGCAGCACTTGGAGAGGGCCAAGGAAGTGAAGCAGCAGCTGCTGACGGTGCAGCAAACTCTCAAGGACGAAGTGGGGGCTTTGAAGGAAGCAATGAGCCCGCAGGCCATGAAGGACCGCGTGCAGCAGATAGCCGAGGGCAAGGCCGCCGCGCCCGGCGCCAGCAGCAGCAGCAGCAGCAGCAGCAGCAGCGCAGCCAAGAGCAGCGGGCTCGCAGAAACTGTGGAGAGACGCGTGGCCCATTTGCTGGCCCTCGCAGCAGAACTGACGCGGCAAGAAGAAGCTGCTGAGAAGACGCGGCGGGAGGCGCAGCAAGCTGCCAGCAACTTGCGGCTGGCGCGGCTGCGGGCGCTGCTGCGGCACGAAGCAGCAGCAGCAGCTGCTGCTGCTGAGGACGAGGAGGAGCGCCGGGCGCTCGCCGAGGCCGAGCCGGTCCCCGGGCAGGTGGCCAAGAAGGCGAAGCAGCTGCAGCAGCAGCTCGTGGCCTTCCAGCAGCAGCACGGCGGCGCTGCAGCACGCAGCGACTTGGCGGGCCACGTGCTGCAGCAGCTTGCTGCAGTCCTCGCAGCAGCAGAACACAAGTTCAAAGACCTGCTCGAGGTCGGCGTGCCCGCCCTGGAGGCCCACATGGCTGCCACACAAGCAGCAGCAGAAAAATTCCACGCAGAGAAAGCAACAGACAAGGAAGCAGGTGAGCCCCCAGCCCTCCCGGGACGCAATTAGCCAACTCTCCCTGTTGTTGCTCCTGCTGCTGCTGCTGCTGCTGCTTCTGCTTCTGCTGCTGCTGCTGCTGCTAACGCTGCTGCTGCTGCTGCTGCTGCTGCTAACTTTGCCGCTGCTGCTGCTGCTAATGCTGCTGCTGCCCTGGGCCTTTCATTCGTGCTGTTTGCAGGGCGGGCCTCGGACCCGAACTCAGAAGCAGCGCAAGGGTTTGCTGCCAGCGAGGCCGCGGCGCGGCAGCTGGCGGAGCTGCTGGTGTCTGTGACGGAAGAAGTGGAGGCCTGCGCGAAGCACGTGAAGAGCACTGTGGAGGAGCTGCAGAGTTTCAAGGACCAGAGCAGCGTGGCTGCAGCAGAGGCAGCCCGCAGCAGCAGCAGCAGCAGCAGCGCGGGCCGGGCGGGCCTGCGGGTGCAGGGCGGCGCGGCGCTGCGGCGGCTGGCAGCTAACAGCAGCAGCAGCAGCAGCAGCAGCAGCAGCTTCAATGGGCTGCTGCAGCAGGCAGACGACCTCGCGACGCGGGCCACAGAGGCCCGC